AAATAGTAATGTTAATAGCAGTGAGAGAAATAATGTTAATAGTAGTGAAAGTATCAGTGAAGAAAATGTTATTAATGAACAAAACACTGATGATGAAAGTAATAATGAAATACAATCTAAACATGTTAATGTCTACGGTAGTGTTATTGGTAGTCAATCCTGCGGGGGTGATTTGGTGGAAGGCGAAATCACGAAGGGCGAGGAATCTGCTGCCCGCAAGTGGGCCCTGTCTGAGTTTTCCTCTGATAGTGAGGATAGCGTGAGTAGCGGTTCTTTTGCTAAGCCTTTGCCCCCGAGTCCTAGTCGGGGTGCTATGAAGGTTCCTATCGTTAAGTGTCGCCTGGTAGGAACCGATCTGTTTCCCCTGTCCCTTGGGCAGGAGCCGCTCTGTTCCCGTCGCGCCTCCTAGTCCCGGCCGTGGTAAGGCAGCTAGTGTACCTGGTAGGCACTCGTTGCCTTCCACTTTGGCTTCTCTGCCCACCGCTCTTCGTGAGAAATGATGACTTTTCTTTGCTTCATTTTCGCGTCGTTATCCATCATTTCTATTAACATCAATGGTCTTCGTGGCCTTGACAAGACCTCAGGTCTCTCGCGGTGGGTACGTAGTCTCCCGTGTACTGTTGATGTCGTCTGTATTCAGGAGGATCATTGTACTTCTGTATTTGAGTGTGATTCTTGGTGTCGTTCGTCGGGCTTCTTATCTTCTGTGTCTCCTTGGGAGACTGGGGAGACCGTCGCGGCATGTCGACGTGTGTTAGTTTGCTCCGCTCGCCGTTAAGAAATTTACTATATTTTTGAAGTGCCTGTGGCTTCTACGTCAATTTATCTAACCCCAAAGAGAAAATCAAGAAGTAGTATTCCATCCAGCAGCTCTACTGAAGTTTCTCCTGACGAAAAAAGTTGAAATCGACGACCTCACCATTAGCTAGTGATGAAGCTAACAGCGGCGATGAAGTTATGGCAGCTTTAAGCCCAACTGAAAGCCTTACGAAGAAGCTTGACTTTATTCTAGCGAGACTGACGATGACTAACGAAAGGCTAACAAAGCTGGATGAAAAAATCAGTGGACGACCTTAACCAGACAGTGAAGGGTCTTCAAACTAAAGTATCCTATATAGAGACCGACGTCGTGGCCGTTAAAGAAAAGCAGAAGTCTTTTGATTAGAAATAGATTGTTCCCATATGAAAGAAGACGTAAAATTTATTGACGAAAAAATCACTGAGCTTCAGGAGAGTGCGGACAAGAGAAAAACAGATATCAATGAATGCCGTGGGCAAATCCTTTATACCTGACTAGGGGAAAACAATAGAAATGAGGAGGAGGAGGAGGAGGAGGAGGAGGAGAAGGGAAAATAATAAAATTATGGAGGAGGGAATAATAACATTGAGGAGAGAAAAATAATAAAATTGAAGGAAAATATTAAAATTGTGGTGGAGAGAATAAAAAAAAAAGGAAAATATTACAATTGTGGAGGAGGGACTTGTTTACGAATGAGGAGCGAAAATAATAAAATTGTGGAGGCGGGAATAAAAAAAATGAGGAGGGAAACGAGGTAAAAAAAGATACCTTGCTTTCTTTGACTATTTTAATAGTTGTCTTTCAAATCGCTGTGTATTTGACTCTTTTTGTTTTAAACGGTATCTCGTGTCTGATTTTATTGCTAACAATTATTAGTCGCGTGTTTAATCAATTGATCGTTGTTAAGTTATTTGTTTTATAATAATACGCCAATATGCTCCCTTGAGGTTTTTCCTGTAGAGCTAATTTGTATTCAACTTTGGGCTTGTGAAATCGCATAATTACCTAACTAACGGTGCGTGAAACCTTGAGACTTTAACAGTTTTTCATTTACTCGAGATAGAACGGAGAAAACGTCAGACAAAATTGAAATAGAGAGTTTTCAGCTCCACTTTGTGTATGTGCGTGTGTTTTGTTTATATATCCGAGTTTTAGTGCTAAATAAGAAGACGTAAACTTTATTGAAATAAAGACTTTTCAACTCCACTTTCTGTATGTGTTTTGTTTATATGTCTGAGTTTTAGCGCTAAATAAGATATGGGAAGTCGTTTCTCGCGTTGCTAGGTGATCGCTTCTCTTATTCCTATTTTCCCTTTAATAGACGGTCCGAAAACCGGGCCCAAGTTACTTCACGGGAAAGTCGAGGCAAGCCTATTGTTTCTGTTGAAGTAGAGAGACGCTCATTAGTAAACCTATACCGAATTAGTATGCAGGAAGACACTGACTAGGCACTTAATTAATATGGAGGAAGGCAGTGACTAGGCACTTAATTAGTATGGAGGAAGGCACTTTTTTTCTCTAGGATAAAACAATGGGTGACGTCATAGACTCGACCCTTATGCCTATTAATTAAGGGAAGGCACACGGAAGGCAAGGGAAGGCACCAACGGGGTTAATTTTGACCCTACTCTACTACTGTTCTTGTTAATTTTATAGAAGACGCTCTTGGTTTAGAGGACGCGAAAGGCATCGAATTCCAACGTGTACATAGAATCGGAAAACCTAGGAGTGGTAGTGGAAATGGTAGCCGTACAATTATATTTTTTCTGGCTTTCCGTTGCTTAATACTGGCACACTTAGTTTTTTTGTTTGCTGTCTGAATTTTTTTCTTTTATTTACGAGTTTTTTTTTCTGTGCAGCTGTGTGTCGTGTGTACCTGACCCTAACAAAATCATTTATTAACAACTTAAATAAGGCTGCCCAATCTCTTTAGCCCTCAATGGTTATTATGGGCAGCCTTTACTCTCCATATTTATAATAGTATATACATAGTACATATATATATAGTAGTAGGGGTATATATATGTATATATATACACCCATTTTCAAAAAGGTTTTCATATAGAGAGATATAAGATAGATATATACTTTTCTTTTCTTGCACGTGCGCTCGTGTGCATTTTTCACTTGTTATTGTCTAACTTGCGAAAAAACGCGGTTGAACGATGAATTTTGTCTTCGTCAGATTCTTAGTTGCAATTTCTCAGAAAAAAATAAGAATGCACGAACATAGAGCATTTTCACATGACGTCACGGCAGCCATATTGGTGTTCTAAAACAACGAAACGGCGGCCATGTTGGTGTACCGAGAAAATCCTTTGGGAGTTGAACTCTTTTCTTATGTAAACGTTTTCTTTTGTCGCAATAAATTTGCATAGATGCTTGTCACGTGAGTGAAAACGCTCTATTGTCTGCAATTCTCTTGTTTTTGCATACTCTTGAAAATTAAAGAATGCGGAATTCGGTCAGTTGTAGGTCATATAATTGTTGTCGTTACAGGATAAGGGGGAAACCTAAAAAATTTTAATTTTCACAACAACGCAGATGAAATGAAAAAAAAAGTGTTTTCAAAACCGCTATTTTTTTTCTGAGAAGGAAGATGTAACGGTGAATGATGTCCGCGATATTGGATATGTGGGAAGGAGCAACAATATTATAGCAGTTAGTAGTTATATAATGAGCTATTCCCGCTCACCCCTCATTACTTTTAAGTTACCCCCCTGCTCAACCCTGTTTCGCAAGGGGGGTACCTTAAATTTACGAGATTAGCGGGTATAGCTCATTATATAACTACTATAAAAATAAACAACCAGAGTGATTCAAAAAATAAAATTGAATTTTAAAGAAATAAAATATTAAAATAATAAAGGCTATGGCTGATTACTCGAGTTTATCAATAGCTGAATTAAAACAAAAATTAAACCAGAAAAAGAAATTACTAAGAAAAAATTATAAAGAAAAACTAATTCGTGATATTAGAAAAATAGATGAAATAAATCAAAAAATAAAAAAAGGTGTTAATATTAAAAAGAAACCAAAACCCAAAAAGAAATTAAAAACCAAAAAGATAAAAACGTTTGATGAGTATTTTCAAGAATGCATTAAAAATAAAAAGATTCCAGCAGATACTCCTCCTTATTTTCGTAAGGCTCTTGAGAGAGCTATCAAAGAGCATAATCAAGGACTTGAAAAAGAAAAATCAGCTTTAGAAGATTTTGCCGGCAAATACACAATAGAGGGAGAACCTGGAATTACTCCTTTAGAGTTTTTTGAAAATAAAAAAACTATTATTAAAAATTTTCTTAGAAATCATAGAAATACAAAAGTAAAATTTATCTTGGTTTGTATTATGGGAAAAATGGAAGTAGGCCCGCAACAAAGATTTGAAGTTGAAGACAGAGCATTTTTTCATTCAGAAACTTATATTAATCTTGTATCAACTGATGTAAAAGTTTTACTTAAAAAAATTATCCGTAACATCGCAGATAAGATCTATGTCTATCAACAGAATGGTAGCGGGTGGTATTTAAAAGAAGTAGATCAACTTGAGATTCATACCGTTGAATTCGATCCTTTGAGAGGATCTTCCTACATTCCTCTTCCAGATTGGATTATGAGGAAGAAAGCTATTGTTAGTATTATGAATAAAGATGATAAGTGTTTCTTGTGGTGCATACTACGTTATCTTCATCCAAGAGAGAGGAATGATAGACGTTTAGCAGATTTAAAGCAATATGTGCATGAGATTAAAATTCCAAAAGGATTCACTTTTCCAGTTAAAACCAATGATATAACAAAATTTGAAAATGCTAATCCAGACATACCAGGCATAAATGTATTCTCAGTTAATTCTAGAAAAAAGTTTTATACTTTAAGGTTAGCATTACGTGATCCTCAAAATTCAATAGATTTATTTCTTTATGAGGAGAATGGGAAATGCCATTATTCACTGATTAAAAATTTTTCTCGGTTATTAAGATCGCAGATTACAAAAAGAACAGATGAACCAATTCATATTTGTAAAAGATGTCTCAATGGATTCACAAAAGAATCATTATTACAAAGACATATTTTTTATTGTAAGAATAATGGGACAGCTTATGTTAGAATGCCAGATCCCGACAAAACGACTTTAAAATTTGTAAACGATCACAAACAAATTCCTATTCCTTTTGTAGCTTATGCTGATTTCGAGTGTTTTACTAAACCAATGAACACTTGCAGTCCTAATCCAGAAAATTCTTATAGATATGACTATCAAAAACATGAACCATCAGGGTTTTGTATTTTTATTAAAGGAGTTGTTGATAAAAAAATAAAGCCAATTACTTATACTAAAAAAGAAGAAGATGATGATGTAGCGAGAATATTTATAGAAAAAATTTCAGAATTAACAAGAGCTATTTATTACGATTTCTATTGTCAGCCAAAACCTCTTAAACTTACCCAAGACCAACAAAAATCATTTGATAAAGCGAAAATTTGTCATATTTGCAACACGGAATTATTAGAGGATAGAGTTAGGGATCATTGCCATTTTACAGGTCAGTATAGAGGTGCTGCTCACAACAAGTGTAATCTTAAATGTAAAAAACCAAGAATACTACCAGTTATATTTCATAATCTTCAGGGGTATGATTCTCATTTGTTTATAAAGCAACTGGCAAGCTTACCAGGAGAATTACGATGCATTCCATCTACTGAAGAGAAATACATTTCCTTCTCTAAATATATAAAAGTTGGTGAGTACAGATCAAGAAAAACAGGTAAAATGGTTTCTTTAGATTTTGAAATTCGTTTTATAGATTCATATAAGTTTCTTCAAACATCTCTTGCTAATCTTGTTAAAAATTTACAAAAAGATGATTTTTATAATACAAAACGAGAGTTTAAGAAGAATGTAGATCTAATTACTCGTAAGGGAGTTTTTCCTTATGATTATGTTTCGAATCTTAGTAAACTAACAGAAACACAGCTTCCACCAAAGGAAGAATTTTATTCAAAGCTAAATGATGAGGATATAAGTGAAGAAGATTATTATCATGCTATTCGAGTATGGGATACTTTCAATTGTAAAACAATTAGAGATTACCACGATCTTTATTTAAAATCCGATGTGCTACTTCTCGCTGACGTGTTTGAAAATTTTAGGAAAACTTGTATGAAACATTACAACCTTGATCCAGCTCATTATTACACATCGCCTGGTCTTGCTTGGGATGCTTGTCTTAAAGAAACAAAACAGGAATTGCAACTACTTGATGATTACGATATGTTAATGATGTTTGAAAGGGGAATACGTGGCGGTATATCCCACATATCAAAGAGATACGCTGAAGCTAACAACAAATACATGAAATCTTTTGATACCCAAAAACCTTCAACGTACATTCAATACCTCGATGCAAATAACCTTTATGGTTGGGCTATGTCACAAAATCTTCCAACACATGGGTTTAAATGGATGAGAAATCTTACTAAAGATAAAGTTTACGATATTCTTGAAAAAATAAACCATAGCATGTCAAATCGAGGAAAAATAGGTTATATATTTGAAGTTGATTTGGCCTATCCTAAAAAACTATGGGAAAAACATAATGACTATCCTCTTGCTCCTGAAAAGATGAATGTTAATGGGGTTGAAAAACTAATTAGTCATTTTAAACCAAGAAAAAATTACGTTGTCCATTACCGAAATCTTAGGCAATATCTTGAAATGGGAATGAGTATAACTGCAGTTCATAGAGGAATATCATTTCAACAAAGTCCTTGGATGGAGCCTTACATAAGAAAAAATACAGAATTGCGTAAAGCGGCAGACAACAGTTTTGAGAAAGACTTTTTCAAACTTATGAATAATTCAGTTTTTGGAAAGACAATAGAAAACATTAGAAAAAGACAAAATATAAAACTGGTTGATAATCGTAAAACAGCTCTAAAACTTACAAAAAAGCCTAACTTTGAAAGAGCAACTATTTTTGATAAAAATCTTGTTGCTCTTCATATGAAAAAAACAGAGATTTATTTTAACAAACCAGTATACGTAGGACAAGCAATATTAGACTTATCCAAAACATTAATGTTTGACTTTCATTATAACTATATACAACCAAAATATGGAAAAAAAGCTGAGTTACTTTTTACAGATACTGATTCCCTTATGTACCAAATTCAAACAGAAGATTTCTATAAAGATATATCAGCTGATGTGGAAACCAAGTTTGATACATCAGATTATCCAAAAGATCATCTATCTGGAATTCCAACAGGGTTAAACAAAAAAGTAATTGGGATGTTTAAGGATGAAGTTGCGGGAAAGCAAATAACACATTTTATAGGCCTCCGCCCAAAGCTTTACAGCTTTAAAATAGAAGAGGGTAAAAATGTTAAGAAGTGTAAGGGAATAAAAAAGTCTGTGGTTTCAAAAGGAATTACATTTGAGCATTATTTTGATTGTTTATTCACGGGGGATAAACAAATGCGAAGTATGAAAATAATACAAAGTAGGTACCATGATATATATTCCAAAGAGGTGAATAAAATAGCTCTTAGCTGCGAAGATGACAAAAGATTAGTACAAATCAACAAAGTTGATACTAAAGCAATAAGGCCGAATTAAAAATTAAAAAACTAAAAAATAAATGAGTTACTCAGAAGATCAAATAAAAAAATATTTGGAAATATTACACAACTACACCAAAAATAACTTAGATGAACCAAAAATGCAGCCCCCATGTTCAAATTGTGAAAACAGTGAAAATTTCGCGATATATCAAGGTTACAAGATTTGTGAAGAATGTGGATCAACAAATGGGCATGTATTAGGTTACTTTGATCCAAAAGAGTACGACAGATTATATTTCAGGAAGAAAAGTGTTTACCAGAGGAAATACTATTACGAGAAAAAGATAAAACAGATTCCAAATTTGTCAGGAGAAGAAGAGAATTTATTGTACCAAAAGTTAATGGAAATAGATGAGAAAGTTATGAAAGAGGTAAATAAAAAATTTAGCCGTAAGAGAATGATTAATGTCTTTTATGTCGCAAATAGAATTTTGGGGGAAATAGGCTCAAAAAACAAAATTTCACTTAATATTTCATCTCAAACGCGAGTCTATTACGACAAATGGTGGGAGTGTTATCTCAAATTAATAGAGTAAATTCTATATTAAAATTAATATAGAATTTTAATTTTGCACTACTCCAGAATGAAATAGCCAGTACAAAATTCCTGTTAAATATCCAAGAACTTCATTTTCTTGAAAACGATTATCACAAATATAAACACTGCCTCTTCCAAGTTTGTATTGGTTCCAGAAAGATCTAAAGCCTAAATTGAAAATCATATGATTAGCCAATATTCCAGATTTGGTTCTTATAGTATGTCTGTCAGCAGATAGTTTGTTAATAATTCTATTCAAATCCATCACTTGGCTAAAATATTTTGCGTATAAATACTCATGAACAAGACAAGCTTTAATAAAATTATCGTTATAAAATTGTGTTTTTGCAGACGGAAATCTGAAGTTTACGTAAGCTACTATTTCTTTCAACATTTTTATATTATGTTTGGATAAAATAAATCTTTGTTTAAAGAAATAAATATTGAAATAAAATGAAAAAATTTATTTTAGCAAATGGAAAAAAGTTTTTTATACATCCTTTATATAAAAAATACGCGGCGAGTGAAGACGGTGTAATTATTCATGTCAAACTGGGAAAACCGCGAAAAGGAAATCTTTATCATGATGGTTATTTTCATATCGGTATATATATAAAACAAGAAAATAAGACTAAAAAATATTTATCGCATAGATTCGTTTACGAGTGCTTTTATGGCATAATAGAAAAAAACAAACAGATTAATCATATAAATTTTATTAGAACTGATAATTGTATAAAAAATTTGGAAGTCGTTTCTCCAAGCGAAAATATTAGAAAATCAATAAGAAACAAAAATTATACTTTTCTAAGAGATATTCGCAAAAATCCAAAGAGTGTTTTGGCAGTAAATTTGTTTTCAAAAGAAGAAACAAATTTTAAGAGTTTGTATTCTGCTGGAAAAATGTTGGGAATAAATTCAGGCCATGTTAAAATGATATGTGATGAACAAAAATATTGTAAAACAGCGACTTCTAAAATAAACGGTCAAAAATATACTTTCAGATATCTGAATTAGCTCAAGGATTTAATCTCATCCAAATAATAAAAAATTTTTATAAACTCCTGACACTTTTTCTCATCTTCTGCGCTAACTCCTTCCATTTTAGTAATCTTATGGCAAAGGCTCATCGCGTAATCAAGACAAATTTGGTCGTCGATGCTATATTTCTGTTCCATTTCCTTTACCAAATCTTTTCCCAAAGAGGATAGAGTAGTTTCAAAATTTTTTATAAAATTTTTTTTTAAAGCGCGTATCTCCTCCATTTATTCCTTGCTTAGATTATTTTTATTTGAGGGGTTTTGGGTGAAAACTTATTTTTATATTTTTTAGCAAATCTATCGGATAGAGGAGTTTGATCAATTATCATTTCGTCTATTAATTTCATTCTATCAATAAACTCTTGTTTATTCCATTCATCTCCTCTAAGAGCTGATCTCAGTTCAACAAGAGTTTTTTCATATGTTGTATAAGCTATCCTTGATAATTCTATTTTCTTCTTGTAATTTTTATTTTTTCCAATACCTGCTACGATAATACCAGCACCGTTTATAACTCCTAACACAACAGGGTTAAGAGTTATCCCACCAGCAATTGTTCCTATAGCTACAAGGGTAATTCCTGTTATGGTAAAACTGTCATCAAGATTCTTATACCTTTTGTAACATTTTTTAAAACACCAAAATTTTTTGTGGTAGTGTCTATAAAAATCTTTTAAAACATCAATATCTGATTCTGACAGAGATTTATCTATGTGATTGAACTCAAAGATATCCTTCATTTTATATTATACTCAGATTATGCGGCGTAGCAGCAGGGGGTGTTAGGGGGACGCAGTCCCCCTTATAAAACATAACTTCCATTTAACTTTTCTTGAAGCATAACTTTATGATATTGCTCAGAATCAATGTCGTAAAAGTTTGGAGAAAACATTATTTTACTTAGAATTCCATCTTGAGTTGTAAACTCAAACTCTTGGTCGTTGGTGTATCTAACGGCTTGTAAGCTTAATATTGCGCTGTAGTTACTTATTTTGACTTTTGTAATATTTTGGCTAAAATCTTCTGCTAACCATATGACAATTTTTTTTCCGTTAAAACTACTTGGCATGCTTAATTGTCTTCTTTGATTATTAACAACTAAATTTACTGTGTTACCTGAGGTGGTATAATAAAAGTTTAATAAAGTAGAACTTCTAGTTGAATCTTTTTTCTTGATACTAAAATTTCTATTTCTCCAATGATGAAATATTAAACATAAAGTATATTTTGTAATATAAGGAGTAGGAGAAAAACTAATATTATAATTGCTAACATTTAGACCTTCTTTTTTTATATCATCTATGGTTCTTAAAGGTATACCCATATCTCTTAAAGTATTACCACTACTTGAAGATAAATAGCGAAAAACAATACCAGATGCGCCTCTTCTTAATTTGTAATTAGTGGCATTAGTAAAATCATAAACGTCTTCGAAATAATTTCTGTATAAATCGTTTATAGTGTGAGGTTTTATTTCCTTTACCATTCCAACTGTTGCTGCGCTATTGTCATTATTTCTATCAAGATTAACATTTAATATTTTTTTATTATTTGCATTTATATCAACATTGTAAACTACTTCTGTTGGTTTGATATCAAATGCGGTGTGGTAGTCATAAACTTTAACCGGATCGATATTGCTAAATGTTCCCACAATTCCGTAAGTGACTAAATAAACACCTGAAAACTGACTCGGATAAGTAGCCAAGTCAGTTCCAGTTTGTGGTATATCAACCAAAAAATGAAGAAAGAACTTATTACCAGTTGATAACTTCCGGAAATTAACTATTATTCTGTGATAATACATAAATGCTACTCGACCATTTGATTGTGTGTACCTATGTGATAGTTTCCTTATACTAACATTTCCAATTGATAATCCTGTTGAAGTTTCTTTGTTTACACTTATTTGAGACTTATGCCATAGAGCGTATTCAGTGTTGAGTATTTCCAAACACAGTGTGTATTCGGTATTAGCAGTTAACCTGTAAAAGTTGATTCCCATTTTGTACTTATATCCACCTTGGGAATATTTGTTTATACCCAGAAAAATAACTTTGTGGTTATAATCGTGAAAGTTTCCTTGGGTTGGTGCTAAATCCCCTATTCTTTTTAAAACAAAACTAGTTCTATCATCTATTTCATCAGTCCATTGAGACCCACTTGACATAAGATAAGCAAACTGGTCGTTGTAATGACTTGGTTGAACTGCTGTATGATGAACCAGTTTGTCAGCGTAAACTTTATTTACCGCGTCATTGTCTTGGGTTGGTTTACTAAGATTTATTATTTTATTATTACCAAGATTAAGGTTCCCAGTCATAGCAACGGTACCATCTTTTTCTAAATAATCGCTTAAATCTGGATCACCTGTGTTATCATCCACATACTTTTTGGTTGCGGCGTCTGTGTTTGATGTTGGAGTTGCGAGACCAACTATTTTTTTGTTTCCAAGATTTAGGTTATTAGTCATTGATACACTTCCATCTTTTTTTATAAAAGAACTGGTATCAGGTATTGAGTCATCAACATACTTTTTGTTTGCGCCATCAGTGTCTGATGTTGGTGGTCTAAGGTTAACTATTTTTTTATTATCCATGTTTAAATTATTAGTCATTGTAGATGAACCATCACGGGCAACATACTTTATATCTGTAAAAGCTAATGGTGTTGGTTGATTATTACCATTTGGAGCTGGTAGATTAAATATTCGATTATTAGCCATATTGATATTACCTTTCATTGGGTAAGATCCATCTCTATCAAGAAATGTATTGTCAACATAATCTTTTGTTGGGGGTTCTTTTCCATCCAGTGGATCGCTAAGATTTGTAATTCGGTATTGATCTCCCATATTAATGTTAGAATCAACTGTTAGCCTTGAAGTAGGTACTGATTCACTTGATTTATCATCCACATACTTTTTGGTTGCTGCGTCATCATTAACTGTTGGTGTGCCAAGTTTGATAATTTTATTATTATTCATGCTTAGATTACCAATCATTGTATATGTACCATTTCTGTCGAGAAATGTGCTGTCTGCGTATTGTTTTGTGGCTGGCTCATCTGCATCAACCGGGCTTTTTAGGTTAAGAATACGATATTGGTCCTTCATATTAATGTTTGAATTAACTGTTAATCGTGATGTTGTCGGTGTACCACCAGAATTGTCATCAACGTACTTTTTTGTAGCAGCATCAGTATTATTACTAGGTGCTCCAACATTTGTGAGTCTTTTTTTATTCATATCATAATTACCATCTGCAGTTAGACTAAATCCAACTCCTGGAGCACCCTGAATTCCTTTAGCAAAAGGATGATCAAAAGTTTGTTCGTTGAATATTCCCATTTTTATTATTAGTTTATATTACCAGTAAAATTTTTTTGCAATGCGTTTTTTGGTTTATCAACGTATAGAAATGAATACGGTTTTTTAGTTGCTGTGTGGTAATATTCTTTATTAACTCCTAATTCGGATGATATGCGATTTGCTTCTCGCGATGACGGAAATTCATAAAGGCAGTAGTGAGAACAATTCAAACGGATATCTTTTGGAGTTTTGTAAAATGATTGACTGAGATACACCACAGAACAATTTTTATGTCGTCCTTGAATAAAATAATCAATCAGACACCTCTGGTTTTTATCACAAACGTAATCGTCAAATATCACAAGTTTTTGATTGTCTTCGTAATCAATTTCTGTAACCGGGGTTATTTCATCGTTACTCACATGAAGTATTTCATATCCAATTTTACTACTTAACTCCCTCATTTTTTTGATTAGTTTTTGATACTTATCCTGTTCAAGATTACGTGCGTAAAGATAAATCTCATCGTAATGCAACAGTGGTTTTATTAACATGTGATACAAAAGATTAGTTTTACCACTTCCACTGTTTCCACAGATTAACATTCGAAACGTATCCGCCGGCATAAAAGGAAATAACTGTTTATATTTTTTATCAATGTCATCAGTACTATCATAATTTGGAATTTCCATTTTTATCTATTGTTTAAATAAAATGGATATAGAAGAAGCTAAAAATTTTGCAAAAAATAAAATCGAAGCCGACGCTTTGGCACGGCAGGTTAGAGATGTTATAAAAACAACAAAATGGCAAAAACAAGATATGCGGGAAGGATTTAAAGAGACATTTAAACCACTTATAAAATCTCAAGATTCTATTAAAAAAAGTATTGATGATCAGCAAAACGCAACTATAGCACAGCTTAAAGCTAATCAACTTGCTCTTACACAGGGGCTTAATCAAAACAGGATGGCTATAACTGAAGGATTTGATAAACTTGACGAAGTAAAAAAATGGGATTTGGCTCAATTACCTAGTTTTGAGGCGATTGAAGAGCCAAAAGAAGACGAAAAAGACGAAGAAGACAAAGAAGTTTTACCATCTTCATCAGATGAAAAACCAAAAATAGCAAAATTTACGCCCAAAGACTTGGATAGAAATTTAATGAACAAAGAAGCACAAGATATACTAAAATTGTATGGTTATGATTATCTACCTTCTGAGTATTTAGAAGAGGATGCTTCTACTATTGACAATTTAATTGATGGTGTTAATGAAGATTTAGAAGAGACTAATAAAGCAATAAAAAATACTGCAATTATTACACGTGACCCAAACGGTTATTATTTAGCTAAACCAGTAAGTAACAAACCACATAAAAACACATTAGATTTAATAAAAAAATATAACACATTAAGCATTTATGCATCAAATTTAAGTCTTCTTAAGTATTACAAAACAAAATCTGGGTCTGGGATGATTTACTTTAATAACCCACATCAACTTCTAAACAGACTTGAATTACTTGGTGGTTCAATTCTAGCTGGGAATAATGGTGTGATACCTGAGTTTTCTCAAATAGCACATCTTCTCAACCAAATGAAAGTGATCTCAAAAAAACAGCTAAATGACTTGTTGAAAACTTATTTATAATGGGGGGAAGCCCCCAAAACCCCCCTGCTGTTAATGTAAACATAAGATAAAATGGAAGAACGAGCTATTCACATTTCTTCGATAAACAGAGAAAAAAGAGGAACAAGCAGACCTGGTGATTTTACTATCAAATTTAACCCAACTTTGAAACTTGACTCTGAAAAGAAACATCAACTTGCTCTTGATCGATTGTCCATGACTTATTCTTGGTACAACATTAGAAGTGATTATAAAAACAATAAAATCAAATACACTCATGATGGAACCAACTGGCAAACAATTACTTTTACAGATGGAATGTATTCCTACTCAGATATCAATGATTACATTCATCAGTACATGGATCAAAAGTCTCATCACTCAACAGATTCAAGCGGAAAAAAAACTTATTCAATCAATCTAACTTTTATACTATCCACCTATCGTGTGTTAGTATCACTCGATGGTGATTATCAACTTGATCTGAGAGGAACAGAATTTGGAGACCTGATTGGATTTGAAAAGAAACTCATTACTAAAACAGAGTATGGATCAAAACTACCAAATATCACAAATTCGATTGATGTGTTAAATATCAACACAACCGCAATAACAGATAGTATAGTAAATGGAATAAATACAAATACCATAGCTGTGATACCAACTGATAATCTCACAAGGTCTTTTCCATTTACGTTTGAGCCTAAAAGACCATTGTATTGTCCTGTTTCTTCATTTCACATTGATGAAATGAGAATCTATGTGACAGACTCACTTGGAAGACCTGTAAATTTTAACGGTATAGATTGGTTTATGACTCTGATACTTCACTCCATGTAGATAAGGGGAAAACCTACGGACAAGCCCTTCGGGCACCCCTCAACACCCCTTTCCTTGGCTACGCCGCATTAATATAACTATTAAAATAAAATGATGAGACAATCAGAGTATAAAAAGAGATTTGACCCTGAATTGGGTAGTTTTACAAAACAACATATTTATGGCGAAGGAATAACAGATGTTTTTAAATCGTTTGGATCAAAATTATTTGGAAAAACAGTAAAAAAAGCTGCTAAAAAAGGCGTTGAAAAAGCAGTAACAGCAGCCGCAACAAAAACCGGTGAACATGTTGGCAAAAAGGCCGGTGATAAAATAGTGCAAATGTTATCAAAGGGGGAAGCCCCCAAAACCCCCCTGCTGGAGGGAGTGCCTCCCCCCAAAACCCCCCTGCTAAACCCCCCTGCTAAAAAAATATCTCAAAAAGAGATAGATCAAATGTTGAATAACCTTCTTAGTGGGGGTTCAACACGTAAGAGAAAATTATATAATTATTAAAATAAAATGAAGTCTTTTAGAAATCCAAAATATTTAGACAGATATGAAGACGTTGTTTACGACCTGGAACAGACTTTAGATGCGGCTCCAGCAAATGCCGCTCACCAAACTAAAACAGGTCTTAGATTTGTAGCTGATAACACAGGAGAATCCACTCCTTTTGATTGGTATAACGCACGATTATCAATGGATTTTAAAGTAAATAAGCTGGCAGATGGAGGAAATATAGCAGTTGCTGACCATAATGGAATTGTAAATGGTAGTAACTCGTTTATAGAGAAATTAAGTATCCTAGCAAATGGACGAGAAGTTTATAGTTGTAATTATGCGAATCATGTTGTAAATATTAAAAATTTACTTGAGTATAATCCTTCATATGCACAGAGTGTTGCTACAAACGAATTTTATTTTCTTGATACTTCAAGAGCGGCAGAGGAAAGACCTGCTCAAGGAACTTATAATAAAGGTTTTCATAGTAGGAAATTACTATTAGGTGTATCAGCTACAGTAAACTGTGAAATTCCTCTTAATAGATATTCTTTCTTTGAAGCATTGGAAGATAAACTACTTCCTAATACAAAAATCGAACTAAATATCGAGATTGAAAAAGATGCGAATTTAATTTTTAAAGCTGCTGATGATTGTAGAGTTATTATAACAAGACTACAACTTTTTATTCCAAAACTTACGTTTAATTCAGAAGGACAAAAGTTGTACATGGAAAATTATCTTAAACCTTACAAATGGACATATTTGAATGAAGTAGTTGAAAGGTCAAATAATACACAGCAACAGACAGGTCATTTTAGAATTACAAATGCTATTTCAAAACCACGCCATGTATTTATTTTTGGAATTGATACGGCAAGAATTGATTCTCAAACGGCGAATCCATTTTTATACGACACTTTTGATCTGCCAAATAATGCTAATATATCAAGATGTTACCTGGAAGTTGCAAATGGAAACGAATACCCCGATATTCACTTTAAACCTTCTACAGATATGTCAAGAGTTTTTAGAAATGTAATGTCATACGTCTATGCAAATAATGATTATCAAGGTGGAACATTACTTAATCGAGGTAATTTCAAAACTTTATTTCCTTTTGTGTATTTTGATTTGACTAAACAGAAAATGGATATAAAAGATGGAGTCACAAAACTAGCATTTCATTACGAATTAACAGCTAATCCAAACGCTGATTATAATATTTACGCGCTAGTCTTACATGAAAGAGTAGCAGAAATATCACAACAAGATGGAAAACTATTGCTTAGAGCGTAGGGGAACCTACGGATGGGGGGGTTGCATCCCCCCAAAACCCCCCTGCTGCTACGTGTTTACAAAGTTCAAAACTTTCACAAACTTTTTCGCTTCACGATAACTTGTCACAAACTTTTTCGCTTCACGATATACGCGGCGACTAAAATGTTGTGAATGGGGGATTGCATCCCCCCAAAACCCCCCTGCTTCTAAAAAAATACTATGATGTAATGGGGGGATTGCATCCCCCCAAAACCCCCCTGCTTCTAGAAGGTTCTAATGACAAAGCAATTTTTACAATTAGATTTTGAAGATAAAATCTAATTATATCAAACGGGGAAACCCCCTTTCCTTGTCTACACCACGTAAAATAAGAATTTTAATATAAACATTAAAATAAAATGTCTAATTATATGGAATACGGAGTAAAGCTTACAGATGGCCAAAAGACAAAACTGGCTTCCGCAATAATAAATCAGTCACCTTTGACTCTTCGATTAAAACATTCGCATCTTAGAGGAAATGATGAGTTAATGTTGACAAAAAGACAGATTGCCAAAATAAATAAATCTATTGCAAATGGCACAGGATCAGATATAAAAATAAGTAAAACTCAAATTAGAAAATCTGTAAAACACGGAGGAAACTTATTTTCATCACTTGCATCTCTTGGAGCAAAAGTTCTTCCTTTCGCAATAAAAGGAATTTCAAAAGCTGTTCCCGCATTAGCTACAGGAGCTGCCACTGCACTTGGTGAAATAGGATTAAATAAAATCTTCGGAAAGGGGGGACACTACGGTATACCAATTACACCAGAGTTTTTCCCAATGCTACCGCCAATTGTAAGAGAATTTACCAAATCACAAATAAATCAAATTAACAAAGCTTATCAATCAGGTAGTGGAGTAGTTATAAAACCAACTCGTAAACAGATAGAAGGAGGATTTTTAGGTACACTTGCTTCTATAGGAATTCCATTAGCAGTTAGTTTAGTATCTAAGATGCTTGGAGGAGGACTTCAGGTTGATAGACGTGGGTCATCTAATACAGCAAATGTTTACGTTCCACCCACAGATGGGGGAGGTTATCCATATCGCTCACCACCGTTTATTGGAACATGGTCCAACCCTATAGGAATGGGATTTAAAAAAAAAAAGACCAAAGGCAAGGGTTTACTTCTAGGAAAAAACAGCCCATTCAACTCAATTCCCATACTAGGCACCATTTTGTAATTAAACCTCTATCCAACTTTGACCTAATGGAATGGATAAAAAAACTTGGTATAAAACATTTCAGAGGAATATATAGTCGTGACGGGCTACCTCATAAAATAAAAAAAGAATGCGGAATAATTAATCTAGATGATATACAAGGTCCTGGAACACATTGGGTTTGTTATAGAAATATAGACAATGTAGTTGAGTACTTTGATCCATTTGGTTTAATAATGCCAAATGAAGCACTAACATATTTTAATACTTCTGGAAAACGCATTATTTACTCAATGGATGAAATACAAAATCGCAATACTGTTCTCTGTGGTTATTGGTGTTTATATTATTTATTTGAGAGACAGCGGGGTAATAGTATTTTAAATGTAATACATAACCCACATTTTGATGATGATAACAGCGATTTTATACAAGAATATTTTGGAGGATAAAATGGGGGGAGAATAAAAATAATATTTAACAAATATTATTTTTTTATTCACTATCAGCTGGTGTATTCTTTAGCCGTTTAACTTTCTCAACTTTTGTATTTATATCTTTAACACTATCAACTATATCTATGAAATTAGAGTAAATATCAATAAGACGATAAAGTTTCTTCTTTTTATCATTATTTAGCTGCAATCAAGAATATTCCTCGTTTCTTATTTTTTTCCACATCTCACATTCAGAAGCCATCAGCACTCTAGAAAGATCTTCGTTTTTCTTTCTAAGAGACTCCAACTCATTATATATTTTTGTCCTTACTTCTTTCTCGAAATCCTTGATTGTTTTAACATCCATATTTTTTTCAATCTCAGAAAAGAATTTAGCTTCCATTTATTATATAAATAGATAATGGGGGGACCTTGTCCCCCCAAAACCCCCCTGCTGCTACGCCGCGTGAGTTTACAGCTCTCTATAAAAACGTATTATTTCTTACTACATTTTTAAGCATATTTGATTTCTCACTTATTTCCATAAGCAACTCAAATACTTTTATAAATCTGGTATCGTTTTCCAATCTAGAAAAATCAGCGTATTCATAACTCATGTTTAGGCTATTGTATATCTTTTGAAGCTCACTTTTGAGAAAATTCGATCTGGTAGTCATACTTCGTAGATGTATTTTTTATCTAAACGTTATATAAAATGAAAGAAACTTATTGTATCGTAGATAAAAGAGTAACTCCTTGTACAGAGCCAAGTGGTTACCAACAAGATAAAAGAGGTAGAACTCAATTCTTTTGTAGATGCGCAGTTTGTGGAAATAAAAAAGTAAGATATATTAAAATGGGGGGAGTGCCTCCCCCCATAACCCCCCTGCAAACTGGAAGTGGAAAAAGAAAAACTAAAAAGAAGTCAAAAAACTAATTAGCCCGTCTGAAGGGGCGGGCGTCTTTGATACAGTTGTTGGTACAGCAGTTGATGGATTTGTACATTACGGGCTTCCTTGGATGGGTAAAAAAGCAGTTGAAATGGGGCGATATGGAGCAAGTGAGTTAATGAGAAACAAAAATCTTCAGAAGAAAGCTGTAAATTATGGAATTAATAAACTCACTCCATTTATTCAAGATTCTGTTGGAACAGCCATGGATGAACTATCAACAAAAGTGAGGCCAAATAAAAAGTATAAAACTGACAGACCAGAATTAGATGGAAAAGGAATTGATGTTCACAAGCAGATTGGTAAATTACCAAAACCAAAAGGTGGATGGACATTGCCAGGACATAAATATACAGGTCCTTATAATGATCTTGAGAACCAATTAAGATACAATCCGGAAACCGGTGAAATATTAGAAATTTATGATCAACCAACTGGGCCAACCGATGCTGTTGCCATGCAGCATGATGTTGATTATAGTGTTTGTGGTGATGACCGAAAGTGTAAAAATAAAGCTGACAAAAAGATGGTAAAATCGTTAGATGCTATTCCTTGGAAAGAAAGACAATGGGGCCATACTTTGGCTAGAACAATAATTAATACTAAACAAAAACTTGGACTTGGTTTAAACGCGAGTCGGCGTTGAGTAGTGATTGGTCTCAACAATTAGCCGACGAACTTCACAAACCAATCACAAGAAACTTTCAAAAAAGATCAGTAATCTCAAACGGTATTGACGAAATCTGGGCTGCTGATTTAGTTGAAATGCAAAAGTTTAGTAAGTGGAACAAAGGTATTAAATATCTCTTGATGATTATTGATGTGTTTAGCAAGTATGGTTGGATTAGGGGGCTGAAAGATAAGAAAACTGAAACTGTTAGTAAAGCATTTGATAGCATATTCAAAAGTAAACGTAAACCTCAAATGTTATGGACTGATAAAGGTTCTGAGTTTATCAGTAAACATTTCAAAGAGTTTCTGAAAAGAGATGGAATTAAACTGTATCACACTGAAAACGAGGAGAAATCTAGTGTTATTGAGCGATGGAATAGAACAATGAAAAACAGAATGTGGAAGATGTTTACTGTGAACAACAACACTGTTTACTGGGATAAGATAGATAAACTAGTTGATGATTACAATAACGCTAGACATTCAAGTATAAAAATGACTCCTGTTGAAGCAAGTAAAAAGAAAAATGAAAATAAAGTTTGGTCTAATTTATACGGTGATTTAATCTACTTGAAACCTGGTAAACCAAAGTTTGCAATTGGTGATAAAGTTAGAATCTCAAAATATAAGAGAAAGGTATTTGATAAAGGTTACACACCAAACTGGACAGAGGAGATATTTGTGATTGATAAAGTTCTGCCAACAAAACCTGTTACATATTCTATTACTGATTTGATGGGAGAAGAGGTTAAGGGATCTTTCTACGAGCAAGAGTTACAAAAAGCAAAACAGCAGACATTTAGAATAGAAAAAATTATTAAGAGAGATAATAAGAAGAAAATGGCATTAGTAAAATGGAGTGGATATCCTGATAAATTTAACTCATGGGTTAGTTCTAAGGATTTGGTTGATTTTTAATACAAATAATGTATTAAAAATAAAATCCTATTCACTCATCTTTCTCTTCATCAGATAATCTTAATTCCTCAAATCTATCAACTAATTCTTCAATGTCATCTTCATTGTCCTCTTCACAATCACTTTTCTCTTCGCCGTCGTCTTCTTCAATTGTTAGTAAAGACTCTCTTGGTTTGAGTGGTTTAACATAGCACTCGTGAACTTTTATTTGCAGAGATGTAACAGTTTTGCTTATAAAGATTCCTTCTATTATCAATGCCAATTTCACATTACAATACTGATTTATGAGTTTAAAAGGATTTAGATCCTTTCCCCCCTTCCCCTTGAACAAAGATAAAATTTTCTTTGATTTTTCTGAGTAAATAAGTTTTGCATAAAGAACTGGTGCAGATGAGGGATCTTTTCTAGTTTTCTTCTTTCCTTTTTTATCAGTGTACTCTTCTTGTTTGTAGTATAACGGTGGGGAAAGAGATGAGGCTAAATCTGGTCCATATTCATTCTCTAAATGTTCTATAGACAAAGATGTTAGACTATTAATAACACCATAAAACGCTTTTTCTTTTTCATTTGGTTCGCTATCTTTTGCCCAAAGACATACTGGCATACTATATCCTACTAACTTTTTTGTTTCTTGATTTCTCTTTTCATTTACTCCAAAGCTAAAAAGAAATGGGGTTTCAATTACAAGTGGTCCTTTTTTGTTATTTTGGTATTTGATTTCAATTGGTATACGCTTGTATTTAATGTTACTATCTTTTACTTTTGACTCTTTTGCTTCTTTGAAAATAACGGTGTCTTTTGTTAAATTATCGTAGCTGGATAACTGCATTTTGTTAATTATAATTTATTTCTTAAACTATAATTAAAAAATCAATTTTTTTTTGGCCAAAGAAGATTAACGGACCAATAGTTACTCGATTCTGGATTTGTATAAGTTAACTCTCCTTGCTTATTTTTTATCTTTGTAGCTCTAGCTAAATATTTATCTCTTCTCTCTTTATCCTTGTGTATTAAGTAGTCTGCGTACTTTGGAGAACCAAAATGTACTTTCTTTCCACCTGGAAGAGTAGCCATATATTTATTATTTTTTCTGGTTGAGTAATCAAGTGATTCTGCACCAAGTTTTTTAGCTCTTTTGGTTAATTTTGTAAACTTATCTCCTGTAAGAATAAATCTTTCATTTGGAGGAACGTAATCTGGGTCCTCATCGTGACGATATCCATCATCAACTATAAAATCCAAATCCTCTTTTGTAGGAGTAGTTTCTCTCGATCTTGGTTCCATTTTTATTTATTGGTTATAGTAAAACAAAAATCTTATAACTGAGATAAAGTTAGAAGATTTAATCACTGTCACTGTCACTGTCAATATAAATCTGAATATCACTGTCACTGTCACTGTCACTGTCACTGTCATAACATTCAGTTAATTTATTATAAAATTTAAAAGTAGCATCATAAAATTCAGTTAAACCTGGGTAAGGTTTCTCATCGTCATCAAAAAAATCTTGTCGTATTTTATAATATTTATATTGTCTAACAAAAAATAGTAAATTCTCCAAATCTTCTTTTTCTAATTCCAAATTACTAATATTTCCTAATTTACCTTTTTCTATTCCTCTAAAACAGATTTTGATGAAATACTTTATTCTTTTGGCTATTGGTGACTCAAATAATCCGTTATTAAGGTCATACAATTTTGTTTTTAAATAATTATACTCATTACTTATTCCTTTGACTAGTTGATACTCTCTTGCATACAACTTTGCGTGGGCTGGGATTTGATTTCTACTGCTTAAACAAGAAACACCAACTTTTTGCTTTGACATGATTTCTATTTTTAAGATTCTTTTTATTTAAATCAATTTTATTTTTTGAATCACTCTGGTTGTTTATTTTTATAGTAGTTATATAATGAGCTATACCCGCTAATCTCGTAAATTTAAGGTACCCCCCTTGCGAAACAGGGTTGAGCAGGGGGGTAACTTAAAAGTAATGAGGGGTGAGCGGGAATAGCTCATTATATAACTACTGCAGTTTATTAAAACGGACCAAGACGTTGCCGAGGTTCATAGAAGTAGATTTTAACATAAAAATGATGAGTTGGTCATATATATTTATGCCTCACTTTTTTTGTTTAAAATCACATCTTGTAAGGCAACGTCTCACTGAAGACTGAATAAACTCTCGGCCACAAAATAATGTTTTGAAGTTAGTTTACAGTTTCTCTTAAGAACGCCTCTGGACAGCGCATAATACACTCCATCCAAAAAAAATATATGCTTCGCCACTTGCTATGGATGCCATGACATTAATGGCCAACCAATTCGGGGACTTTTCCCGATTCAACGGAACGACACAGAATATTAATCAGCTTTTAATCAGCCATATAATTCGCCATTGCAAATTTGTATTGCAGGGCACATGCACTTTTCTAAAAAAAAAAAAGTCAGCGACATGTTCTTTTCGAGTTTTTTCACAAGTTGGACAATAACGGGTGAAAAATGCACACGGGCGCACTTGCAAGAAAACAAAAGTATATATGTATATATATCTATATCTATATCTATATATATATATATATATATATATCTATATGAAAACCTTTTTGAAAACGGTTGTATATATATATATATCTAATTCAATGTGGAGTACAAATAAAGTTGTTGTTGTTGTTAATTATAGCCCGGCTTTTTAGGTATTCAGACAGGGAACGCGTGTTCAAGTGTGGTCGTAAGCTTAAGACACAAACTACAAGATGTTTGAAGATATTCCAAAGGAGTTACACGAACTAAGGAAAATGCAAATGGACAAACGGAAAAAAGCCAGGAAAGACGGTAAAAGTGCGTATTTTAGTAAATCCGAGCCTGACAAGCTTTTCATTGATGGGAGATATGTCCAGTTGTTGTTCTTGTTAGTATTCGTATACTTTATTCATAACGGTAAGGTAGTTAAAAAATGAGATTGAAAGTTTACGAAAGGTAGTTTTTTCTTCCGGAAAGGCTCGATTGTTTTTCAATTTTGGAGCATAGGTTAGGGATTTTTTTTTTCTCTCCTAGCTGTTTTGTTGTTGTTTCAGTGTTAAGGTGGCTCGATACAGTTTTTCAGGGTCAATGCCTCCCAAGTTTGAGCATAAACTACGTCGCCATAAACAAAGTTTTGGGAAAATTGCCACCACAGTTGTATTAGATGAAGATGGAAATTTGTTATGATCAGGGTTGCAACGGCATCGGAGTTGTCATAGCAACGAAATGACGCTAATTTAAAAATTATTCGCCAATTTGTTAAAGTAGACCAAGATGTTTACAAAACCGCTAACAAGAGCGCTTCGATACATACAAATCAAACCCTTCTTTGTAGCAATCGGCTGGAGCTATCTCCCATGATCTTTCACACACGCTTTTAAAAAGATTGAAACTACTATGAGGTGAAATTTCATGTCGAAAGCGCTTCATTTTCTACAGATAACGGCCAAACAACAATATTGTCCATTTTTTGCTGTGTTTCTAACAATAAATACTTAATCCCAAAATATCTCGATAACGCTCTTACAGATTTCGCTTAAACTTCACGAACATCGAGGCTGCTATTGGAGGAAAAAGCTCCCGTGAATGATTTTCGAAGAACAGTTCCTAGTGCCGAGATATACTGCTGCAAGTAAAATAGGTAATAGCGTCATTTCGTTGCTAAGACAACTCCGATGCCGTTGCAACCCTGATCATAACAAATCTTCATCTTTATCTAATACAACTGTGGTGGTAATTTTTCCAAAACTTTGTTTATGGCGACGTAGTTTATGCTCAAACTTGGGAGGTATTGACCCTGAAAAACTGTATCGAGCCACCTTAAGCTGTTTTGGGTATTTGGTATTCGTGATTTCTTTGTTGTCTTTTTTTTTTGTTGATGGATCTTTTGGCATTTTGTACAGTAATTAAGATTTTAATCCACTTATTTTATATATAATATGCGGTTCTTTTGATATGGTTACTGTAATTTGCAGGTCCTTTGTCTTTTCTTTTAGGTAGTCAGCCCAAAGGTTCACATCTCGTTGTATAATGTACAGGTTAAAATAAAGCATGAAACAGCAAAGTATAAATCACATTTTGACCATTGCAGCGTGGCATGGGGTAACTGTGGTAAAACGTTGCGTGATAAATTGCAGCGACTCCAGAAACGTGCTGCACGCGTTCTCACAAACTCCAATTATGATGCAGATGCGAGTATACTTTTAAATGACTTGCATTGGGGTGGCAAAACCTTGAAACTCAGCGGTAAATTCAGAAGGCTGTGATGGTGTATAAATCTTTGAATTGCCTTGCACCTGATAACATGTCTTCAAAATTCATACTACGCAGCGACTTGTTTAATTCTTATAACCTTAAAGATTATGAAAATAAGCTTGCTGTTACCTTGCCACGAACCAATTAGTACTATAGAAATAGGTTCTACTACAGCGGGGCTCTTCTGTGGAACAATTTGCCCACTGATGTAAGACAAGCAAAATCTTTGACTAGCCTTCGAAAACTGTTAACTTTTAGCTCGAACACGGCATTCACGGAAAACAGGCTTTAATTTATAAATTAATTTTATTTATTTATTTCAACATTCACCTTTGTAAGTGATATTACTGTTAATTGAATAGTATGTAAGTTTTTCTAGGATATTGTATATTTCCCTGACGTTTTTACCGTGTATAGATAAAAGTGATGATGATGATTATGATGATGATGATGATGATGATGATGATGATGATGAACATGATGATGATTTCGTGATTTCTAATTCTGGGTTAAATGCAAGATGGTGGCCAAGATGGCGATCATATATAATGATGTCACAGGCCTCCTGCAGCGCCATCATCCATAAAATATACCTCATCTTGTCAAGAAGATGAAAGGCTTTCCATGGAAGGCAAAACCTTTTCAAATACTGCAACATATCAAAAACTCAAGGGGATTTCTTATCGCCGATTGGTTGGTTCGTGCTCCAGGATGGCGTTGGATGGTTCCATCATAGTGGAAATTTGTGACGAAACGATGGCGAAAATGTGGCACAAACCAGTCGAATTGTAGGGTTTCTTTGCTTGCATGTTGTTCTTTTTCGGACCTTTTAGAGGTACTTTAATTTTTGGTGTGTGTTTTTCCCTTCGATTGTTGTCTTACGGCGATGGCAATCCTTCAAAGCCACACTTGACCCTTCGAGGTAAGCACATCTTGTTGTTGTTTTGTGTTATTTGTCCTTATCTTTGAGAAAATTGCGTCCCAAAAATTGACCTTACCAGGGCCATATTTAGTACACTTGGGGACTGTTTTGGGACGCCATCGTTATGAAGGTTTCTTCTTGTTTCTATTCTTAACTACGATTGACAGATGTTTTAAGGATGGAATTGTGGCATAGGCATAGTTACAGACTGAATGCTGTTATTTTTCTGCCATAAATTTCGATTAAAAATGGCTGAAACTAACTACATTCGGAGCTGGCGCCGGGTAAGTGAACGCACACTGTGTGTAAATTTCCAATCGACAGGTGAGACTAGTTTGTGTTAAGAACTGTTTCACTCAAGTAATATTAACCCTGTTAATTGTTCGTAAAGCAGTATGTTAATTTCGCGCATCTTTTAATGTTGAAATTAAACTACTACATTACATATCCAATGAATACAATCGCCTCACGTCGCTCCTCGCAGCTTGTATTCGAAGGCACTGAAGAGACTAGAATAATTTTTGTACTTTTCCCTTACACAAACTATAAATAATTGTTGCAGCAATGGGAAAACACCTACTGACATTTTTTGTCCTCCCTTTAGGCTCCTAGGTGTTGCTGTTATTTTTTAAACAGTGTTTCTCATTAGTTTTCCTTTTGTTTGTCTTTATTGTAGGATTTGCTGAACACACAGTCAGTGAAGACAGTAAAATTGTGGTCAAGTACTCCTCTGAGAGGGCACAAAACAATCAATCTTTCTGTATTAAACAGCAACAAAGTTGCTTTTGTCATGCATGAGAGCCAGAAGGTGGCATCTAAATTATTTGATCAGAAGCTTTATTTGTCACTTCTGAAGTGTATTTATTACTTCTTTGTGAATGGGACAAGTTAACTGTGTTTGAGGGTCAATGCTTGTATTAGCTACGGAGTCATGTGTTTAAGTTGGCTAGTGTTCGTCTCTGAAACGGTCTATCTGAATCACATTGTTTTTCCAACCAAAGATGGACTTGATTAGCACTATTATTGTATTCGTTTTTTTGGAGATCCAAAGCAACAATGTATCTGTAGATGATAAACCTTACCAAGATATATTCTAAATCAAATTAATAAAACATATATCTGTACTTTTTTGGGGTTATGAATTTTGTTTTCAAATGTCATATTTTTTCAAACCTTCATCCACTTACCTCAGACTAAACAAAAACTCCATAACCCCTGATGTTACAATTTATATATAACCTATCACAAGCACAACACACAATTTATCACAATTTATATATAACCTATCACAAGCATCTTTTAGAAGACACTCCCTTCACAACTCAATAAATGCAGTACCACAACTGAAGAGTAAAACAATATGTTTTTCGTCTCTTTCCTATATTTCGACCGTGTTAAACGACCTTCATCAGGGTGAATGGCCGTTACAAGCATCACACACCATTATTACATGATAAGGAACAAATTTGAAAACTTGCACGTGCTACAAAGGAAGGTAAACACGCGTGCGCTCTTACCGGACGCGAGACCTAGTCGCCCTATTCTGGCTGCAAAAAAATCACTTATA